GCACACACACACACACACGCACACACACACACGCACGCACACACACACACACACACACACACACACTGGGCCCGAGCAGCGCCGCACCTCCGACCTCTTCACCCTCTTCTCCCCGTGACAACAGCAGCGCGTCCACCGGCTCGACGTCCCTCAACACCGCCGGCCGCGGTAAAAATAGATGAGTGTGAAGTGAGGAGSAGGGTGTGAAGTCATATCTGACATATCAACCCGCCGTCTGGAGCCGGGGGCCGGCACCGGACCACCAGACCTGCTGGACACCTCAGGTTCTACAGCACATCTGGATCCAGGACCAGAATCCAACTCTATGTTCAGAACCCTACGGTGATGGTATGAATCAGACAAGTCAGGATGAACTAAACCAAACTGTCAGGATGAACTAAACCAGACTGTAATATTTAAACCCATGTAACTCATGACTTGTGTTTAAATGTAAYGAAGTGTTCTGGGTTCTGTTTCAGGCTCAGTCAGCAGAACTCTGAGCCCCTCAGACCCTGACCCCCCGCAGCACAGAGGACCAGCAGAAGGATATGAGTGGACCAGGATCTTGATGGCGATCCTGCGGACCGGATGGAACGGGCTGAAGCTGTAGAGAGCGGAGGTGGCGCTGAAACGGAAGATGGCCTTGCCTTTGTTCAGGACTATAAACGTCTGCGGGAGAAACAAACGTCAGTTATTCAAAGCAGATGAAGAAACTGAAGATCTGGACCTTCAGGGCCACAAACGTCCCACACTCACATCTTCATGTTTCAGTTTGATGAACACATGAACGGACCGACTGGTCCTGGTCTCTTCAGAAGCTTTTAGACATTTTTAACACATTTAAAGTTGGTGATAAAACCTTGTTCCTCAACAGAGCAGGAAGTTTCAAATGTTGAGCTTCTTTATTTATGCAGATTTGATTCAGTCATAAAAAGATGAGAAATCTAATTAAACTTTGGGACTAAAGATTTAATTTACCTACAAATGTTTTTATTTGAAATCCTTCAGAATTTTCTCTTAAAGTTTGTAAAAAAACACGTCTCATTTGTTGTCGTTGTAGAAGAAAATCATCTGAAGATTTTAATATTCTTTCATCACGTGGTTCTGCTGAACGAGATTTAATTATTAGAAAGAAATTCTCATCATCTTTACAACAAGACTTTAAATAAATAAAATATTTCACATCTAAAACAAGATATTTGTTCAGAAACTGTTGAAAGTGAAGTCAAACATTTGATTTCATTATTTCGGTGGTTTTCATCCAAACGACAGCAGAAGCTGAGGGAAACCCACCCTCTTGTCTCTGAAGTAGTACGGGTCGATGTCCTCCAGGGGGACGCCCACCAGGTGAGACGGGATGTCGGCGAAGATGCGAGGCAGCTGTTTACCTGCCTCCAGGTCGGGCCGGGCCCGGGGGAGCTCCACGTTGCCCAGGTCCTGAAACAAACAGGTTATTGTGAAGCGTCTCAGTTTTCTTACTGTGTCTCTGCTGACTGCAGCTCACACCTGTTTTTACCTGATCAACAGAAAAACTGTTCATATCTGCAACATTTCGCCCATCAGCACCTGGTCCAGTCAGGATGTTGAGGATTGATACAGATGTTTTAAAGAAAGTTAAAGTTAAATAAAGAAACTTTGTCAATCAGATCTGTTTTCAATGTGATTTGCAGAGTGAGATGTTTGTTTTAATCAGATGATTTATTGGTTTTCTGGACTTGTTTATTAACTGTTTTTATTTCTGATCTGCTCACAACATTGGATGAAATGTAGCTGTTGTGCTAACTCCAGCACATTTATTTTCATGGAATAGTGATTAATTTGTGTTGACCTTTTAAATTATTTAAGCTGCAGCAGCGAAGAGATAACTTAAACCTGAATTAAACTTCAATAATTCATCCAAACGAAACACATTTTCATTTTGGTAGCAGAAAATTAATCAGCTGAAATGTCCAAAAGATACGAGGAGTTCTGCTCGTTATGTTACCGTTAGCTAGCGGGCTAACAGCTGCAGTGTTTTATTAAATGCTGCTTAAATCTGAATATTATTATATTAAAAATCAGCAGGATGAAAAAACCCACAACTTTCTGTTAACTTTGAACTCCAGCAGCTGTATGTGTATAAACAATGTTCCAACTCTGAAYGGAAGCCCAAAAGAAGGCGGAGCCTAATGAGCCCAAAATGTAGGTGGAGCTTAATGACCTTAGTGTGTTTTATTAACCCTCATTAATAAAACCCTTTCATTCATAAACCTTTCATTCTAAAGATGAGTGTTCAGTATCAGTAATTTAAACTTTTTTATACAGCACAGTTTTATATATACAGTATATATA